AACAATATTTCCTTTGTTTATTGTCCTAAAAACGATATCCAGCTTGCTTATAAGCCATCTGTGCCGAGCCCTGATTCAAACATCAGTGTAATCGTTACCGGGGTTCCTACAGAGGAGGAAACAATGCGCAGTCTTGACGACTATTCTCTCATTATCAGACACTTTTTACATTTCTTTCTTTACTTCTTTGTCATGTTTTTTTTACTTTCATTGTGTGCTACCTTCTCTTCTACAGATAATTTCCATATTGGTAACAGGCATATGAAAGAAAAATATCCAGACTATTCTCATTAACATGCGTAAACAGATAAGCAGAACTTATTTGAATCGATGTGAAAGAGGAAGATGAATTTCACTTTTTTTGAGCTTTGATGAGGTGGAATCTATTCACTCAAAGATTTTTCTCACATGCAGCTCAATAAATGTGCTGAAAGTACCTACTTTCATAAAGAGACTGGAGAGGAACCACCTACGTATTAACACTATTTCATTTGAGAAAAAACATGATTTTGACAGCTTACCTTCTCTACTGAGATATGATTAATATTGCCCTATTCTTATCTCCAAATACAATTGGAAGAATGTGCTCTGGTCCTCCTAATTGGAAGTGAGTACAGTAGTTCCCAAAAGATAGTGCCGACTTTGCGCACAAATTGCTACCTGTTTCGTATTTTCGAACTTTACCGATCACCATTAGGGAGTTCGTATGACTCATGAGTTCACATGTACTTTCATTTACTTTCGTCACCTGTCATGGGCTTTGTGAGGAGAAATGGGCATAGGGGACAGGGCCCAGCACGAGTGTGGCAAATGGACCCGACGTCTTTGCTATTCCGGACCCTAATAAGGAGGAGAGGAGGATTTTGAAACCTAATTGTTGATATTTCTCAAACTTTGGGTGTAGAACAGATTTATATAAAATTTTTGAGAATCTTATGTGAAATGAAAATTTAGCTACCACAGGTGCGCAGTTGCCCACCTAGTTTGAAAAAAGTCAAGCACGCTCCTTATTCAGGTAAGTTTTTCATAATTTTTCATATTTCCTTAGCTTAACTACGCGTACACACACCAAATTTCGTGCCATATCGTTCATCTGTGCGTTGCAAACGAGCCATTTTATCATTCTGTGATAGTGGGAAATTTTCAGAAAAAGCTTGCCACAACATTCAGTCACATAATTTTTCCGCAATGCTCTGCACTATGCTCCTCTTGATCCAAGACCGTTTACACTCCAAATTTGTAGTCATATCGTTATGTGTGCGCTGTAACCGAGACACGTACAGGCTGCTACGCGCGAAGGCGCAATATCTTTATCTTTGGGAGCGAACGCGGCTTTATTAGCCACAGAGAGCATGAGGCGCAGGACTAGCAATACTCTCATACGCAGAAGCAGTATAAGCGCCCACCACGTGCGTCCGCTCAGCTTATACTGCTTCTGCGCCTTCGTCATGCAGTAGCCTTTGATTACAACTCAGTGAATAAAATTTGATTTTTGAAAATGACGCGAGAGCAAGATCGTGTTTTTGCATGTCAGTCGTGAACTATCGAAAGGGGGTATAGTATACATGACGTATTATTACATATCCTCTGCTTTCCATCCAAAACGATTTTCAGCTTGACATTTTCCCACCTCGTGCCGGGCCCTGAACGAAAATCATTTTTCAAAATTGTAGCTACAGCGCAGAGGCAGTGAATATCCACTGCAGATGGTCCAACATTTATAACACTGTGAAAATTTCGTGAAAACCAAAGAAAGGCGTGCTAATTTCTCTTGCAAGCCTATGCAAAGCCCAAACATCAAGGCTATAAATTTTTGCAGGAACACTCTGGCCATTTTCCAGAGCTTTATCATAAAGATTCAACGAGACAGAATTCCTGTATTTGCGCAAAGTTTGATACTAACTTCTAGAGGGGCTGCAATCTTTCTTCTAACCTTACTGAAGTGATTGAAGGCAGATGATAGAAATTTTATATGAACATCCATTTACCGTGCCATTACGAAAAATCTATAAACGTATTGATTACTTTTGTAATCACATTACTGAAAAGAGGCTTTTGATTTGAAATGTTCTTTTTATGAGATCAATAATACTTAGGGGATCCTAGAATGTTCATTACAATACACTCTTCTGTATCTGCCAAACGCTTTGATGGATGAAAATAGTGGTATCTTTCTTCTTTGAAAATGCATCGTCAAATTTCCTTCGATACTTTGCTGATTGTGCGATTGCTCCACGGTTACATTCGTGAATGTCTAGAAGGTCTTTGCGAATGTCGAAAACTTAGAGGGGCTCAGAAGCTACTTGGACCTCGATCCTGCAATGAGCCCGAACCCAATGTTTCCCAAGCAAATCGTCTAGCAAAATGAAAGGCAGATCTGTAATCCGCACTTTATTATTATGGTCTACCTTGTTGACGAACGCCACTTCAAGTCAAATGCCTACCCTTGTTAGTATGACTTCATGGAAGCTAGTAGATCATTTAGTGGAGATTTGAAGCCTTATGATAGACCAGGGATATTTCAAAACGAAGTCCCTTTGACCCTGAAAGTTTCGAACGAAGCCCCCTTTGACACCCAGCTCTAAACATAAAAAACCTTAAAAAATGAAATGTCGACTAAAACTCGCAACTTTTGTGTCTTTCTGAGCACAAAAACGATATCCCCTTTGCTTTTGTCCCAAAAAAGATATGCGTAACCCGGCTGTGTCGAGCCTTGACTGACGCGGTAATAATGCTCTTACAGTGTTTGGGATGATGTAACTGGATCTGAAAGAGGATTAGATGAAACTTATCTAAAGATTTCACTCAATACTTGATTGAGACGTGAGACGAGCATTATTCAAAATAATACCCATCGCGTTCTCTACTATCCAAAGTAAGTAAACAGAGTAAAGAAATCAGAAAAGATCGACTCTGATTCACTTCACTTCGGGAAACAATCGCCTGAAGGTCAGATTCTTCTGTTGCGTTTTTCTTTTTCTTCGTTTCTGATTTTTGCCATTTCCTCCGATTAAGAATCAAAAATTGTTCATCTTCTTGCTGAGTAAGAAAATTATGGGGCAACGTATGTACTTTCAGGCGATTTTAAATGGGAGAATTTTCTTGTCATCTGATCAAAAGTCCTTTGATTTTTCTTACTAGTGGTACACATATAGGTGCATGTAACCGAGCTTTCTCTTGAGCTCAGAAGAAGCATAGTGACACATTTCATACAAGGCAATACCACACTAAAGACACCATCATGCCGTAGCTCGAACAAAACCAACAGATTTGATCTAGTTTTATTGAACAAGTATGTGTCTAAGCAGCGCATAAATGTAATATTCTAGCATAGCCAAACAATCGGAAAAGGAACTCGCATGAACGTAAGAAAAACACTTGTGCAAATCTTACTCAGGGTAGTGACGAGCTTATGATGTAACAGGAAAAAAAATTTGTAGAATAACATACAAATTGCAGTATGAATTGTATGACCTCAGCGCGGGTCGCGAAGACTCTTTACATAACGAACTACATACAATGGGAACATATCAACGGTATAAATGTGTACTAGATGGATAAATGTGAGAATAAATCTATGTATAAGAAAATTGACGCCGTCAGTGAATTTGTTCTAACCGGTTGAATGACACCCTACGTTGCAAACGACCCATTTTCGTGATGTCACTGTATTAAAGGACCTCATTGGCTTATTCAGACACTTCAAAACAAACCGCAACAGATGACGTGGGTGTTGGAAATTGAATTGGTGCTATACAAGCAAAACATGACCCCAAAAAATAGCTAATGGGAGGAATCTCAAGCCAAAGTAAGCGACTTGTTGGAGAGGTTACATTAACTTTGAAAATAGTGCAACTGTTTCCGAGAATTAACAAAATGACGGAGGATCACGGCCGGAAAAAGTGCTTTCTTTTCCATCAGCGAAACGATAATATAAGATGGTAACGCTCTCAGTTTTCAAGCAAAAAGTTTTCCTCGAGTCCCCTCCCAAAACTGCGCGAAAAAAGCACAAAAAGGAGGTGGGAATTATTTTGCCCTAAGATTGGCCAACAGATGGCAATTTTAGCCAGCTTAACATAAGCACAAAAATAGCAACATTGACCTGACCACAGCCTAGCACATCTACTACTATAATAGCGACAATTTTTCTTACTGTGGAATGAAGCGATTTACCGGCTTATGAGTTCTACCCTAATTTGAGAGCTACTAAGTAAGGAAGATGTGATTAGAAAGGAAAGATTGTCCTAGAAGCCAGCCTGACTGAATGATTGTAAAGAGTATGTTAAAAGCATTTCTATATAGTAAAATGATTGGCTTAGTCTGACTCACTGAGTTCGAAGCCGAGCAAGGAAAATGGATCTTCCGGGCTCTCGCTGAGGAACAAGAAAAGTCATGTATCAATCCTAAACCCACATAAAACGTACACATATCGAAATGCTAGTAATCAGCTGTACAAAAACATAGAACAATTATATGCTAGATAAGTTTTAAGGGCCTTGATAAAAGAGGAAAAAATAAAAATGATCGGGGTGGTATGTGTAGAGGCAAGTAACTTGATTAGCTAGAATATCAACAGCAAATGAAAATTCAAGTATAGTGATTCCTATATGTATAAAGAGCTCAAACCATTGGCTAGTACTTCGCGTTTGAACGAGAAGAAAGATAAAACAGACAAAGCACAATTGATGATGACAGTCCCGCTGAATGAATGATCGTAACCGGTTGAAAAGATGATCATCACTAGGCTCAGCGGTAAGAGGAACAATTTGAAATCTTATGCATCTCTATGAAAAACCTTTCGTATACAATTACAAATTAAGCTACAGTAAGTGTAACGCTCATGGGGCGCTGGAACTTCAGAATACATTGACACACATAGTCATGTACAATATGACTACTTACATGAGCTCTCGTAGTAATCGAGCCGTATGTGCCTTCTGCGAAATTAGCGTAGAAGCTGCGGTATTCACAAGATAAAGAGTAATTTCCCACTGGAATAGCTACGTAGAGCATAACGGACATCCCGGACGGCTGTCCGCTCGCGAACGGTCGCGACCACATCGCGCACAAGCTGGCGCGATCGCGTCGTCTAGCTAAAATGAAGTCAGCTGTGAAATTACAAGAGAAAATCTCTAGAAAAGCAGCTATTGCTATTCTGAGATTAAAAAAAACAAGGAGAAAACTCACAACAAACATGCTATGAGGTTGAGAATTCTGTAAGGCTGCTCTCAGAACTCCTTCACTGAAATCGCTAGGTGGTGCTAGTTGAGGCACAAGGCCACCCAGCGATAAGCCACTACTAGCCAAGTGCATCTTTACGGCTTCTAGCTGCTGTACGAGCTGAAAAAGATGGATATCGATTAGTTCTTAATGACATCGCAAAAGGAAGCTATCAGTATGATGTATAGTTCCATACAGCAGAAGACCGTTGTCTTAAGCTAAGCGGTAGCCAACGCGACAGTCAACAGACTACAGTCACCTCGCGATTTGGACTTCAGCTATTAGTCAATTCCTCGCAAGCGCGTTAGATGCGTCGAACAAGCATAATCAATGAATAAGCTTACTGTATATATAAGGCTTTCGTATAATAAAGGTAAAACATATGGCAATTCGCCAACCGTGGCGGCTGGAATCGCGCGAGGTACGGCTGCGGCCTTGGGTCCAGGGCATACCTCACGCGATTTCAGTCGCTGCGCGAGTGGGTACGCAACGACTTCATAGGGTGTAGAAGGGCTTCGCTGAAGCAAGAATTGATGCGTTTGTGACAGTATACAAAAGCTGCCTATGCGTATAAGAGCTGTGCATGTAAACCCATGAAAATTCAAAAAATGCCAAATCTTGAAATTTCAACGACTTGACGGAATCGCTCGAGGTATGCCTTGCGCGCAACGAAGTGACAGAGCGCCGCGAACGCGTTCCCTTATAAAATGGCCAATATATGATGTTTGAAGCCATACCTGATCGCGTTCGAAAACGGCACGATTCCTCTCCATTTCGGCCTGTTCAGCTTTCATTTTATAATGTTCCGCATCAGCCTTCCAAGCTTCACAAGCCTGGCGGGCCTGTTTCAAGCCTTCTTCCCAGATGGCTACTTTGTCATGATGCGACCGCAATTCCATTTTAGTCTTTGCTAATTCATCATTCACATCGGAACTCTCCTGAAATAAAATGATACAGTAGCAGACTAGATAGCTGAACAGTGAAAATTACCTGACTATCAAAAGTAGCGATTTGTGAAGGCGTTGTCAGCAAAGACTTTGTGGGACCGAACAGAATTTCGCCAAAAGATGTGAGAGGTGAGGTATGGAATGACTCGGCACCGGGTATACGCATTGGCGATGATACAGACGACACTGGAAGCTCGGAGAATTCCACAACTTTGATGTCATCAATGTGCACTACGCAACAAACACCGATGCGCCATGAGAAGAGCTTGAGCGATTCCAAACTCACTATTTCCTGAGAAGAGCTCGGAGAGAGGTTTCTGATGTTCTTCGATAGGGGCTAGGTCCAGGCTTAGTTCTTCTGTAATGCGAAGATCTTTGTTAATTTCAAGTGAAACGTCAAGAGTCCATGCGGGAGGCAACATTCAGAAAAATCCTTTAATCTTCTACTGAACGATTTGCGTAACCGAACAATTTTTAAAAGTGCAATGACGAGTACAAACTCAAAAAGCACGAAGGGTTTTCTTCACTTCTTTAGGATGTCGGTTAACCTTTGATTCAACTGGAATGGCGGCTGAAGGCAGGGCTTGGTGACCTAATTAAGGCCGCTGGCGCCCGCAACGCTGTCTGCGCCTCTCTCGCATGCGTGCTCTCTAATTGTTCCCTAGCCTTTACTGGGTCACGAAGCCCCGTTCCAGCCGCCAATCCAATTGAATCAAAGAGTGTATTCATCATAACTTTATACTGTTTTCTCAATCAAAATGGTGATTTTTCCGCGACCGGATTGCTCCAACACAAATTGTAAAGATGGTGCAATTACCCAAAGACGGATGATTGCACTGTTCTGTCAAGTCATATGCCATAGGAATTGTATTGCACAAAATCCCATCCTGCTCTTTTTTATCCCATAAAACGTTAAAAGCTAAGTGCCTGTTTGAGCACAAAATTCAAATTGCCGCCTTCTTCACATTCCCCGAACACTACTCACCTGTAACTGCGTGGAACCCGCTATCTGATCGGCACAATGAAGAGTGAGAGGGCAGGGAAGTTCCGGGAACAGCTTCAAATCCACTAACATTGCAACCTTTGAAGAAGTTTTTGAAAGCAAAAATTCTCGTCGAGGAAAACTTTGAAACTCACGTCTACCCAAGTCTAAATGAGCCATATTGAGAGAGTGAGTACGCAGTCTTCCCATAGAAGATTCATTGTTGCGGTTTGGCTAAAGAAAAATGATGAGGAATAGACTGAATTGGAAACTTCTTCCGAAAAAAGTTTGAATGAATAACAAGAAACATACCGACAAGGGTCCTCCTCGTTCATAACCAGGAGCTTTCGGATAACTACTAGAGATTTGATCCGTAGTAGCTGAATAGCCCTTAGTTGCTGCCATTGGATGTCGTTGTTTAAGCACAGACTAGAAAAGCAATTTCATCAAATTAATCAAGAATTTTTCATGAATACATGGCTTAGAAGGCGGCTTACCGAATACGACGGTGTTGATGTGCCATTTGAGATTGGCGATCCAAATCGCATCGAGTCGCCTGCAATTCTTAGATGAGTTTTTATGAGAGACGGTTTTCACTGAAGCATGTTTCATTATATTTAGCTGTGATCTACAAGGACTCCTTATGGTCCGAAAACAGCGCTTTGAAATCGAACGACTTCAAAAGTTTGGTAAAGATGACGCCACCGTATTTCTTAGACTGCCATCTACTCTGCCAAAAAGCAGCATCGCTTAGCGATGTGCATCTACTTAAGAACAGAAAATTCTCCGCTAAACTTCAACATGATTTTTCGTTTTTTTACAAGGCACCAGTTCTGCACCTCTAAGCAACTTCTTCCAAGAAATAAAAAGTAATTACCTCCATTCGTATTCGGACTGCATTGTTCCTTTGGGCTTGCTTGACTACTAGTTACATATGGAGTTCGCTGCACGTGCAGTTCCGAGTCATGGTGTGCAAATGCACAAAATACAGCTCGAGGACAGTAACCATGCTGAAAACAGTAGCACTATTTCGTAATCTGATAATATTTTGCTGCACTGAACAATAGATACATGTTTCGACTCATATAATGAACAAAACAGTTTAGTGCAAACATGGAGTTACGGAAAATTGTAAAAACAGGTTCAGTAATTAATCACTGTAATATGAAAACGACGAGGAAGCAGAAAGTTAGCTCAATACGAATCGGTGTCTTCCTTTTTTATTTCCAACAAAAATGTGAACAAATCTTTGGACATATGGCATAAAAATCATAAAATCACTAGACATACTTTTTGTGTACTTTACCTCCGACGCCCGAAGCAGACACCAGAAGGTGATAAAAACTATTTGGTTTGCATAGGGAATTGAAAGCTCTCGGAGCCACTATGCTAACAAATCCGAACACTCTCTTATTTGTGAAGTTCTCAGCTTCACAGCTGGAGGTATGAAAACAGAAAAGAAGAATGATTCAAACATTAGATTCTTGTAATTTGAACGATTCGCTAAGAAAAACTGTTGGTAATTTGCAGACTGACTTGGTACTACATTCCAAGAAATGCTTAGAATCAGAAAATAAACAATATTGTGTATCTGGTTTCATAAGTGAAAATCCGTCTGACACTAAACCAGTGAAAAAGCGGCCGCGCGTATGACACTCTGCCAAGAGATTCAACAATTTTCAAAATTAAAAATTTTAATCACTTTATATATATTCATATAAGAGGAATTTTTAACTTCAGCCCAGACCGTGCTGAAGACCGACTCTTTGCTCTCTTCAGAAAAACTATCTGGTCTGCTCAGAAGGACTGCAGTAACCCAGCCAAGGTCTCTTTAGCTAAAAGCTCCCACAAGTGAGGGAGACGATCCAAATACTCGCATATCCCCGGACCTGCGTCTGACAACGGAAGGATACTTGGACAAAGTGGCGTTTCTATATGTAATTTATCTATCTTTTAGAGCGTGGAACGTTGATTCCAAATCTGCTTTCACTATCTGCGAAGCGCTTCTGGAACAAGAGTTATGAGAATTTTTTGAAGCAAAAATTTGAAGCGCGGCTACATTGAAATCACTCAGCACTGCACCCTAAGAGCTCGACTTTTATGAAATTAAATCCTCCTGTTTAAAATAAACTCATGCCAATCATTACTCCTTTCAAGCGCGGAAAATCTCAATACCTGGTTTTACTTCAGTTAAACTCCTGAATTTTTGCCTTAAAAGGTTTTCATAACTTTCCTCCAAGAGACACTTTGCAGAAAGCAACAGCAGATTTGGAATTATCGTTCTATGCTTCATGAAACTTTATACATTTCATATGGAAACGCCACTTTGACTAAGTATCCTTCCCTTGTATTCAGTGCTTGTCTACTCGTGCTCTGCAGGCGTGCACTATGCGGGAGAAAATGCTATAGCCGTAAATCATGCATTCTCTATGGTAAGCAGCCAAGCTGAGGCGGCTACTACTATCGCGATTGGCATGCAGCCAGCAGCGCATCTGGCACGAGCACACGGCATTTTTTTGCCGACGGGGGTGGTGGGTGGCATCGTGGCTTGAAATGCTAGCGTAATGTGCCCTTTCATGGCGAAAACAACAGCGCTTTCAATAGTTCGAAAGCGCGTGACTCGATGAAATGTGCATTTCGCGGTGCGTTTTTTGCACGGAATGAATGCAGCCAAAATGTTGTCAACAAGTTTTTGTGATAACTAGTGCACAGCACCTGGAGGACACTCTACATACCTCGAGCATATCGTTACACTTCGTGCTTTTGTAGATCTCGGGATGGAACTGCTGTTCGGTGCGAGTATGGCAGTATTGACAAGAGTCACCAGCTTCGCATAACTCCGGATCCAACCACTCATCTACGGTTTTCGCAGCAGGACACGGAGTTGACCTAGAAGCAGAAACTGTATGTAGAACTTGAGATTCTGAAAATTGTGACTGCTTACCTATACTTGCAGATCGCTGGAGGTCTTCGCCGATCTTTGGAGTTATGGTAAAAAGGACATGCATAACCTTGTCGGCAGAGTCGCGCTGGTTTTCGACATTGTTCCGTCTTGTAACATGACAGGACATGATCCTGACCTAAAAACATGGCTATGGCTTCACATTGTAGGAGAAAAAAAATAGAAGGTACAGGGACTAGATTTGTGCACTTCATGAAACGACGTTTTTAGCACATCCTTCATAGAGGTAGACTATTTGCACATCCAGCAGTCACAAGGCATTTTTTGTTAGTATTTTTTTTCACTGGCACATCACCCATCACTTTTTCTACAAAAACAATTTAAAAAAAGATTTTGCAACATAATGACGCGGAAACTAGCATATGACAGTGCTATGCGCCCCGTACATTTCAGGCGTAGGGATTTTTTCCCATGGATAAAAGGTTGCAGCTTCAAAAAAAAACTAATCAACCCGAAAAATAGATATTATCGCTTGTGTGCAGCGGACTGCTAGATAAAGCTCAACATGGTCTTTTGTGGTAAACTGGACCTATGCTGCCCAGGCGCATTAGGTCGTGGGCATACCTCATGCGATTTTAGTCGCCATGCGATCTGGTAATTTGCCAGATGCCCAGATTCAATCAATAATGGCAGATCACAAATGCAGAGCATGTGTAATTTCCGTAGGTTGATAAAATGCCCTATCTTCTGTACATTGAACGCCCTTAGGGTGAGTTATGAACAATTGAATTGCCAAATCGCGCGACTGAAACGCGTGAGGTATGCCTAGAGCTTTAGTGTATAGAGTCAAGAAGTCCACAGTTCACAATATTACCGCCCTCGCCGATTTAAGCTACTGACCACCTCTAAAGATCGTTATTCATCTTAGACAGTTTCTGAAATCGTCCTACGATTTCGAACAACCACGCATCGCATTTCTTACCCGTATATTCGTCCCCATTCTCAGCGAGTGCGTGGGAGACAAGATCAATGAGGCGTATGGCCTGGTGTCTGGTGCTAGAAAACCCCTTCTACGTCTATATTTCATCGCTACACGAGGTTCATTCAAACGCGCACAGCGACGCACACAGCGCATTATCGTCGCGTCGAAACCCTCGCACTGCTCGCGCTCCTCGTGTGCACTCTCCAACACGCCACAACGCACAGACGCACACGTATACGCACTGACGAGCGGCAACCAATGTTGTCAAGTCACGCGGCGAATGTTTTGGAGGCAAGGCTGCCCTTTGATTCGCGGCTGCCGAGCCGCCGCCGTCGTCGTCACGCATTCACCGCGTCGCGTCGCGATCGATGGAGCACTCGCTCGCGTCGCAGCCGCGATTTGCGTGCAGAATGGCTGCGTTGATCAATAACCTGTGGTCGCTGGACTTTCTATGCGAAGAAAAAAATCTGGATAGAGTACAAAGATTTCGGAGACGATGAAGGACAACGATGTCAATGATGCTACACGTGAGGTAAGCTGAAGACGATAAAAACTAGCGACCTTGGAATCGCATGCACGTTTAAAATGTGTTTGTCAGATGAAAAGCTTTTTTCTGCGGGAAAAAGAAAAAGCAAAAGATTTATTTGTTAAGAGATTAATGGCTAAACAGGGCCGCAGCACAAAAACAGCGAACGTGATTAACAGGTATAGAGAGTGCAAAGACGATAAAAAGCTTTGCACTGTGTGTTTTCACGAGGCTTGAACTCTAAAGCAACTCTGCGCAGGACTAATCAAATAGGAATTACATGAGAGCAAATCAAAATGTCAGTTTGTTCCTTCAACAAAAATTTACTGCCAGAATGCCAAAACTTACAAAATTGGAAGAAACTACGTAAAACATATTTCCAGTTCCAGATCGTAAAGCAAAAAAATAATTCATGTGTTGGTAAGCCAGGCGTATATTGTGACTCCCCTCCCCCTCAAAAATTTCTCCAATTCCTTATAGTCACAATGATTAAAGCTAGAACGGATCTCAATAAAAACGCCTAGTTGATATGGCTTTTCATAAATCGCTCTAAAAAACGGTTGTCACAAAATTGCTGTGTCAGTTGTTCAATTAATCTGTGCTGTGAAGGATTCAAATGGTGAAAGAGAGACAAACATAAAAAGAAAGGGCAATACCGAATTGGACGAGACATCTGTTCCCTGATTCTGGTACTCCAGGTTAAAGAATAGACAAATAATGCCAAAGAATTTGCAACATTATTGAGCGAAACTGAATGACGACTGGTTGTAAGAAAAAAATCGAAGTCACAACAGGGTAGTTCTGAACTGATGTTGCTCATGAATTTCTGAGATGTTCAAAAGAAGGTTGTCCGAAAAAGACATTACATACATTACATTCAAGCAGGCTTGAGGAAGAGCGAAGGTATGAAGTAGGATAAAGACTGATGCATAATGAATTCAGCTAAAGAAATGTAACCTACTTTCGACTACTTTTGTTTTATTTATTCCAATGTGGCACGCCTTGTGCGTATTGAATAAATAAATAAATAAATAAATAAGTAAATCTATATATGTAAGTGCCTGTTTGATCAATGCTTTGAAGTCTGTAACTGTGCTTTTGTGCCTTGTTGTTATAACTTCTAAGAATTGCAATCATTGGTTTGCAACAGGATATAAAAAATATTGAATTGCAGGGATCTGTGTGGGAAAACTAAACCAGAAATTTGCCTGCTTTCAATCTAAGAAATTTATGACGAGATTGTTGCACTTTTTTTGATAACTCGAAAATATACTGAATGTATCTTTTCACACTCACTGTGCCACAAAGGATCCTCAATCACAAAACTCGTCCTATCGCGTCCGTCACCATCGACCGTTGTCGAAAACCCCGCTTCATGTTGATCAAACTGTAACTGTTCGCGGTATTTTTCCGAACATTATCCTTGTCAAATCACTTGGTTTACCTGAGGTTGTCGCAAATCGGCCGACGAATGGGCAAACGCACAATGTGCACCATTCTGGAATGCAAAGAGTTGGCAAAACTTTGGGCAAAACGCGCGGCAAGTCAACCCCTCGTCACTGTTTGCGCGCAAGTGCAGACGAACGTTCTGTCTGACGTCTGTTCGCAAGTTCTTGCTTACAACTGCACAAAATCCGTCAAATACGAATGCGGTTCAAGGTTAGCCAGGTGTGCGAATGGCGAACACACAGAGTGTGAGCGCAGAGAGCCTTTGAGAAAAGAAATGCTAGCCGGTTTTCGAGAACGCCACATCAAACGAAAATGTTACTATGAGGTTTTCTCGACCTTGACGCATAGTTACTTTTTTCTCGCTATTCTCATTACCTTGATGCATTGTCCACGTGAGTCGGTTGGATGTACACATTGGGCGGTTTTGTAATAACGTAGATGGTATTTTCGCTCGACATCACCGGAAACTCGATGCAGGTAAACGCATCTGAACAAATTGGAAATTTGTGGCTGAACATTCGTAGAAATTGCATGAGAGGCAGAGCAAGTGACGCAGAAAGCACTACTCACTCGTCACCATCTGGGCAAATGCCGGTATTTTCATCGTATTTGTCACAGTAAATGTCAGGCGAGTAGTTGAACGAACCGTCGGACTTGCGAAGTGGCCTGAAAGGACCAAACTAAGGAGATAAGGGAGTGCGACACTACTTTTTGCGGTTCACCTAAGCATGAAATCTTTGAGCTTCACAGAGGTTTTCTTATCAAGCTCATTTCTTCTAATTCGAACTCTAGATTAGCTTAAGATTACAACAAGCACAAAAACGTGCGATATGTACTCATTCATAATTGAGTCCGCTTTTAAACAGAATATGTTTACTGCCAAATCCTAAAGTAAATAACTGGCAGCGAATTTGAAGAACCCCCATAATCGAAATCTTGAAATTCAGCAAGAATGAATGTCAAATTCGTCATGTAAAAGGTGTATTCATGCATCACTCTCCTCTCCAGCCATTATTCATTTGCAAAAAAGAGCTGAATAGATTATGAATTTTTGAAGAAAGACTTCCAGACAAGTTCTTCTAGAAAAAATAACTGTGCAAACCTACAATATGATGACAGACAAAAGAACCAGAGATGCTAAATATAAAAGTCTCTAAAATGACTAACCTCCGTCTTCTTTGATTGGCAAAATGCCAATTAAAGCAGGTATATGGCCTATGTTGTTGGCATTGATGCTGTTTGAATAACGGACAAGCTTCTACTCGAAATTCGTTAAGGTAGCTGGAATAAAGTTCATTAACGAAGATCACGATCGAATCAATATTGTAAAAAAAGTAGAATTCCATCAAAATGTCACTCTTGACAAATGCTCATTTCATGATGCAATCAGCCCTGTTTTCAATTTGTGAGTCTGTCAAGGCTTCAAAGGGTTTAAAAAGTTGAGGGCCTCAAATGATCAAGAGAAAAAAGCACAGGAATGATTTGAACCATTATCGCTAATGATATTAGCTGCAGCTGATTTTAAACTTCAACCAAACGGGAAGAAAAAGCGATTATTGAAAAACCCCTAACAATAAGACCTGGAAATGTAGCTGATCTTTGCTCTCTGAAAGTTGTGAATCTAGTTACTACAAAGGAAAATGAACATCGAAAGTGTGGAGACAGAAAATGACGGGAAGATATAGTTTTCATTAAATTTTTTTGATGAGGTTATAGTGTGCCAAAAGAGCTGAGAAGTAAGAAAATACAAAGCGAATAGGAAGGGAATGTACAACATAGAATAGAATGCAAAAATAAAAATGTGAGAACTGTTACAACTTCCCACAAAATGGCTAAAGGAATTTTGATAATCATACCTATAGGTTCCCCTAGACATTTGCAAAAGTTTTACGCAGTCTGTTCCTTCACAATTTTCGCAAGCTAACAGCCTTTGATTAATCTTGTAGACGGCAAAAGATCGAGAACACTACATGATCTCTAAATTAATGTCCTTCACCACGTGATGCTATATTCGGTAAAATTACTAACAAGGACTAATTCGTGTCTCTAGAGACGGAATCAGTTTTACTAAATTAGAGGTAGCTGATAACGTCACTGCGCACAGATTTTCTTCCTCAAAGCATGAATAGGAAAGAAATATTATGTAAAAACTGGAAAAAAAATGAAAGATGAACCGCTAAACTAAGCGCTTAACTTTCCGCTTTAACAGCGACATTGTTCTCTGGATATGCTTTTCGTTTTTATTAACCAAAAAAAGACTACACCATTATTTATGGTGAGAATAGCTTTTTTTACAAAGCCGTTTTTAGCTTGTAGCCAACAAAAAAAAAACACGCGGATACTAGGAACAAACTGAGGAAACAGAGAAATCTGGAAATTCCGGAAAGATGACTTACAAGAGATCAAAAGCTACTGCTTTCAGTCCTATGCAAAAAATAACAATGCTAAGATTGCAGCTCTTTGAACCCAGCAAAAAACTGTTTCTATTTGACCAACATGGACGGGTGGGAAAAGACACAAAGAAGTAAGAAGATAATTCTTCAATTATCAAAATTGTTTGGAAATATGACATCGTAAGGACCAGACTCGTGCGTGCGTATGAGAAGGAAAACTAATCAGTTTTTTCATCTTTGATACGTTACTAGCTTTAAAAATAGTCTCCCTCAATGTCCTTTCAATCCTTTATCAGACAGATCCTAGAAATAAAAAAACCTTTATTTTTCTTAACGAAGAATCCGTGAATATACAGCTACATGAATGCAGTAAGATTGGGCGATGAAATCGCGGTCTAATCGCAAACGTCGCTGTAAATAGCCCAAGAATATGTTTCATAAATTCGCATGAAAGGACTACCACAATCGTTAATGTGTAAATAACGGCATTTCTTCCATCCCATTGATAACTGTCCCATCCTTAACACTGCTGATTTTTTATTGTATCGTCCGCGAGTCCACATCGTGTCAGCTTTTTCAGCTACAAATTTAAGCCCGAAATTAATGCTGCTTCAAGATAATCCCAGTGTGAAATGTTTATAGACGCAATTAGAGCGTCTAAAAGTTATGCGTGTTCAGCAAAAGCTCCCAATTTCAACTTCTTCAGAAGCAGTCAGTTGCCGAAGGCAGTAGGCTCCTCCAGGGCTCGGCACGAGGTGGCTAGATGAAAATGCAAAAAACGAAGTCCCCCTTGACTTTTGAGAATTTTTACGAAGTCCCCTTTGACCCTCAACCACATTTCCTCTAAAAACTTCAAAAAAATCCCGAAATCCCCCAAAAAACGAAACGTCGACTAAAAAAAACGTCGCCAAATCGCCAATTTTGCGTGTGTCTTCGATCACAGAAACGAAACCCCCTTTGCTTTTCGTCCCAAAAACGATATCCAGCTTGCTTGTAAGCCACCTCGTGCCGAGCTCTGGGCTCCTCGATAGCAATAAAGCCTCGTGCAATGAAATCTCGCTTGGGCCATAAATCAGCAAGTTATTTAGTTATGGGAGGTTAGAAAGCCTGAGGTGGAACTGTAAGGATTTTTGAGATTTGGGATTCTTGGGAATGTGGAGGTGTACGAATATAACTAAACAAGTTATCCTTGAACGTTCCCGATCAATCTTTGCACGAAAACGAATCGACGGCCGCTGTTGTGTGCCGCGTGCAACGAACGAGCATCCCACTCACAGCCATGTGACCGCTGTGCCAAACCAAAGATACACAAATAAATTGAACATTGATAGCGTTTAGGAAGGATTTGAGGTAGAAAGAAATGTTAGATGAAAGCGAACGACAAAGCGGGGGTGTAAACGTGCTAGAGTGCAAGCCGCTAATCATATCAAAAACTAGAACACTACTCTTAATTCAAAGGGCATCGAGTGCAGGTCCTGCAAAACGCGCGTGCACTTGCAACTTGACCAGTTCTGTGTGAAAAAAGCGATAAGAAGTTGACTTTTCAACTAAATGCGACACTTTGCTGCACTGACTATGACGTGTGCTGATCTAGTTAACAGACACTAAGTTCGTAGTTCGAAAAAAAATGTAGCAAACAAGAAATCTCGGATGTGATGACGTCGGCTGTGGTTTTGTTCGTGAAAAGATTGTCACACATTCAGAAAAACCGCCTATATTACACCTCAACATCTTCTGCTGAAAAAAAAACCTTTCTCATTTCTAGTCGAATTTTTAGGCAAAACAGGATGAAATGGTACAGTAATAGCAAAAAAGCCCTTTTCGTACTTTACAGCGTTACCCTACGTACTATGAGAATTTTTGAGGTCAAGGATGAGAGTATTCAGATAAAGAAGTGTCGTAAAGGTTTCCATTTGAAAAGACAGAGCAGACATTTTTTTTCTCCTTTGTATTTTTTTTCATACCTCGCTAAATCGCTAGGCGACGAGCACGATCTTGATGTCATGCGAGAAAAAAAAATTGTGAAAAAAAGCGAGATTGCTCAGGCGTTGAGTTGAATGTAAACAAAAGGATAGAATAGGGAATAATTCAGATGGCACGTGCAATAAACTATTTTTATGTTACAATAAAACATGGAGATTGTGTGTTCAACTGTTGTCAACAACCCGTGACAGTGCAGAAACTGCGTCTCACTAATTGATAGATTCAACGTAAAATGAAACCTTGAAAAGAAAAATGAACGAAAGCAGAATTAGCTGCCGAAACACCCGCAAATAAATCATCGTCGTAAACATGTAAAAAGACGTAAGACAGAAATAGAAATAGAAAAAAAACTAACATGTGCGGGAATTTTCCTTGGGAGTTTCTCAAAACCAGCATACAGACTGGTTACTGAGACGTTGTGAAGAACAAGGGATGTTTACGGTCGAATAAGACGCAAAACATGGGGTGCATAAGTACTTTGAGGAAAATAATGATTCGTCTAACACGCCCCTACACGAAAAAAAGCACAAACAAAGTGAGTGCTCAACTTGATGAACGTGTTTTGGAAGTCTTTTTTTCATGCTTCGCGAGGGAATCGAAAAAAAGAGGAAAATCGTGAAATCGAGGTTTTTTATTGGAAATTTATTTTACTCGATTTTCACAGCTTTCAAAAAGCTCACTGAGCAAACATCAATTTTACGCGACATCAATGCTTTTACCTTTACAAAAACGCGTCGACGTCAAAAAATACGGCAAAATCGATACGCGTTCATTCCTTTCATCACCCCCAAGCACGATAAGAACCTAATATTTAGACTCGTTAACGTAACACTTTAATATTTAACCAATTTTGCCACTATTCATAATGCAGCTGCGTTCACGAAAATTTCTGTGCATGCAAAATGGATTTTTCGTCGAAAGAAACAACAAACAAAACCAATGCTGCGCTTCACCTCATGTTTGCTATTATTGTAATAAAAGAAAATGCATTGATTATCGAAACAGCAGCGAACACTCAGCTCTTATAACAGCTTGCTATTCGGCGATGAAACGGAGCTCGTATCGGTATCGATACTAGCAATGAAATCAAAAAGAAACGTCAGAGCATTACTCGTACTGCGATAGCAATGCTACTGCTGCCAATGTATCGATTGAGGAGCAGAATATAGGAAATAGTTTTTGGCTAGAAGCATGTTTTTGACTCTGCAGAGGTTTTTTCCTAGTTTTTTTAGTCGAGTCGCACGGCAAATCGCATTCGCGATTCGTTCGGCCGAACATCGCACGAGCGATGCCACATGCGACGCAGCTAACAACTTTTATCAATCGATAGAACCACGCTAAATGCAGCGAAGTAACATGCAAAGTAATGCAGAATATTGGCAAAAATGATGAGAAATACGCTGCAGATGCAGCGAGGAAACTGTGATGATTGTCCACCAAAAAAACCTTCCTAATAAGGAATAGTCACAAACAGCAGATTATTACGCGATTCATATTGACATTTAGGTTTTTGAGCGATAAAGAAAGCATGGAAGAGCAGGTGCGAAAGACCACAGAGGCGAGAAAACAGCCAGCTACCGCCACGAGGGTCAAAGACTAGCCGCTACTGTAGGCGAGATCAATGAACAAGATGAACAGGTCTGATTGCATTATGTAATTACTGCCAAGTCCGAGCACAATCAAAAGCAGACAACGATTTTTGCCTGTGATTAGGGCAACAGGCAGTGAAAAACGGAGTGAGAGTGAGACTCACTGCAAATGGTGTGTTTTCTCCACCACGGCGGGTTTCGCCTCGCCACTAGTCATCTCTAATATTCAGGCCTAGAAAACGTGGGGAAAAAAAGAGAGAAGGGGCAAAAAAACGGAAGCAGTGTTCGAGGCGTGAATGTGAATATGTCTAGCGTTGTATGACGATCAGCAACAGCAGGCTGTTCTTGTCGTAATGTATTGTAGAAGATGAATTCGAATATCCTAGACGCACTTGATCGTGGCGATGACCCTCTCCGAGTACGGTAACACGCGCTGACATGAGCCCGCCCGCAGTCGGCGCTTTTTCGAATAGTTGGCTCTTTTTCGAATCAGCTGACAGGCAAAACGGCTGGCAGGGTGCCAGTGTGGTAGCGGGCGGTCGCGTCGCGTGCTCACATGTCGGCCACGTGCCATTCGCAACCACGCCCACATTCGCCGCCGCCGCCGTCGCTCCGTGGCCTTGCCATCCCTCCAAGCCGACGTTTGTGTCCACATCGCGGGGCTTGCAACCTTTGACAGGCGTGCGAGGGGAGAGGCGCGATACTTGCACTCGTTGCTGTGATTCTCTTGGGTGCGATACTCCAGATACCGTACGCTTAAGTAGCGATAATGCGCAGCTATAAATGATCCACTTTGATTCCGAATGCTATTTCACTGAATATGCTGTCAGAGCTAGTTTGTTTTCGAGTAGGTCAGCACGCTCCTTTTTTTGCAGATGATTCGCTTTTGTTTGGAGCTCATGTGCACTTGATACGCGAAAGATTTTCGAATGTTGGTAGAAATATTTTCTTTGCAGTCCGCAAGACATCTGAGCCCCGTCCGCTCGCACATATAGAGTTGACCTTTCCAAAAGAACGTGCTCTGGTGACTGCATTGATTCCACCAAATTGTAGTGGTAACTGATGCAGTAAGCAATATAAATGCTGGAATTCTTTCTATGGGAAAAGGTTGCGAAGGAGAAGGAGGGGAGGAGGAGCTGGGGGAACAATGGCAATGCAGTCATTGCGAATAGAAACTATGAATTAGCAAGTTGTTTTAATGTTATTCCAAAAAATTTCTCGTTAGGGGAGCAAGTGAGGAGTAATTGCTGTCCATGAAGTTGCCTCCATTCTACTTTTAAAATCTCTTAACATATTTGACCAACTTTGTGATCCCGATTTATATGGGGAAAGGTTAAGGCGTTGCAACTGACTAGATTGAAAGTTAAGTTTTAAATTTTTTAACAAGATTACCGTTAGATATTTGAAAAGGCACTGTTATTACTGGGCATTTGAAATTCCAAATCTCTAATGTCTTTTGGCATCAAAGATCGTAATTCACACCGCAACACCTCAAAAACGTAGTCTTTTTTTATCGCATTCGAATATGTTATTGCCAGGTTTATACTGGAAAGATTGTACCATTTTCCTAATCACCTCAAGCAGTTTTATTCTCCTATATTATCGTTCGCTAAGTTTCTATAGCTGAGCAAAGCTACATATAGGAATGTTGGACTGCCAGCAAGGTTCATCAACTCGGTACAATCCAGACAGATAAGGTACAAATAGCCAGGACTTGCTCAAAATCCTATTTACATTTTAATGCTCACGCTAAGATTGCCGATAAAAACGCGAGTTTTCATTTCAGTATGGTAGCTATTTCTGTATGGAGTCCAAGCAAATGTTTCTTTTCGTTTTTTACTAAAACATCAAGCAGCTCATCACGTGTTCGACTTCGAGTCTTGTGCTATGTGTCAATATGAGTCAGAAATGCAAAGAACGTCTAGAAAAGATGTGATCAGTACAGGGAGAAAGACCTTTTTTGATGATGGAAAATTGCTAAAGTGATCGTTTTTTTTTTGCAAATTGGAAAGAAAAAACAAAGTGAATTAGCCGGTTAAACTAAAAAGGTAGCATCTTCTCCCAGCCTCGAGGGATCTCTTGATTTTTCAATAGAAAGCTCGCCGCTTGTTGACTAATTCCCGCAACTACTTCTAAGAGCCACTTCTGTTTTTTTTTGTCAAAAGAAAACAGTGTGCACCATAAAGAAAATTTTTAAGAGAGGATTTGCGCGGTTTTCGTCGAATCAAAGTCTTCAAAGCCTTTTTTCCTTTCAAAAAAGAGTCAAGTATTGCTCCTTCGATCTGTTGGAGCCCTTACAAATTTGAGCTGCTGGAAAGGTAATACAAAAGACTCTTCGAACGCAATCGAACATTTTGACCTGGACAGAGAAATTGTGTTTTTTGTACCTGCTTACACTTGAGTTAGCGTACTAGTATAGTTTGATAGCCTGTTTGTAATCGCATGTTCCATTTCTTGTGTGTTTGGCTAGCGGAAACCGAGTATTGTTGTAATTGCTCCTGTACTTGAGTCCTCTGTAGGGCTGGCTTCTTTTTGAAAACAAATACTCGACTGCCTTTGCAATTTTTGCAACTTGCTCAGTTTCAATAGAAGCATGATTCTACAACTCTGCAGCGAAGGATCTCTATAAAGCAAAGAAAAAGAGGCAGGAGAAAAAAAAAGAAGACAGTGGAAGGCTTACGAAAATAAATACTCTCTATATTCAGGCTCATAGTAAAGGAAGACTGAGTATGGAAGGGCTTGGTAGCAATAGTCCTCTGCTTTTTTTATACTTCACTATTAGTTTCTGCAGGGGGAATCGAAATTGAAATAGAGTTGAAGCTTGTACGTAAAACGCAACGTCTTAGGAAGTCAGAGCTGTTCTTATATAAAGATCAGAGCTGGGCACAGGTGGCTTGTAAGCAAGCTGGATATCGTTTTTGGGACGAAAAGCATAGAGAATATCGTTTTTGTCCCAAGAAATTACGTTTTTTCAGTAGACACCTCGTTTTTTGAGGGTTTTTTCACGTTTATGGTTTAGGGTCAAAGGGGACTTAGTAAAATTCTGGGAAAGTCAAAGTGGACTTCGCTTTTTTGTATTTTCGGAAAGCCACCTTGTGCCTAGCCCTGATAAAGACTTTTATTCGGAATCGCTTCATTATGTACTAGAACAATACTCTCCAGCAAATAGAGAGTCTGGAAAAAGGACCTATAAACTCAACATATCACACAACAAAAGGGGAAGAATAAATGAAGAGACTCTGCAATGTCAACAATAATAAACCTTAGGTTCTAAAATTTATGTAAAGGCTCATGACTTTCAGGTTCAGCTCAGCTGAAACCAAGTCTGAATCCAATTCAGCCAAAGCGAAAAAATGCTACACCACTTAACCACGTTTCTTTAACGTACCACCAGGTTTGCCCATATAATCAATTATTGGTAGAACATAACTCTGATCATTTCACTTCAGATTACGAGATATTTGTGCATGAGGATGCTGTGTGTAAATCAGCTTTGCGTTTTCGCTTACGTCACCTGACGCGCACCGCTCGCCTCTCATGGGCCCCGGGCATACTTCACGCGATTTCACTCTCGACGCGATTTGGCAATACTCAACTTGCATAACCCATCGTAAGGGGTTTCTAAATGGGCATAGGGCAATAGGGCATTTTATTAACCTACGAAAACTATACATGACGTGCATTTGCGATCTGCCAGTATTGAATCTGAAGACATCTGGCAATTTGCCAGATCGCGTGGCGACTGAAATCGCATGAGGTATGCCCACGGCCATAAACATCTCACTCCTTCACTTGCGCTAAGTCTATCTCAAGGACTAAGGGAGTAAAAAATTCCTGTTTACGACCCCACTGTTTGTAATAGCAAAGAGCTTGAAGAGGTCAGGTAGAAGGAGGGATTTCAGTGTATCCAAACCTTTTTTGAAAAAAGATGTTAAGAAATTGTAAGGAAACTGTTAATAATTCTCAGTCTGCTTCCCTGGTCATAGTCGAAGTTGCTTGAGAATAGTAATAGCTTCTATAGTTAGAACCGAATCTTTCTCGAATGTTCGTATTTAAATGATTTGTTTGAAATAGAAAAGTCATTCTTGCTCACGGTGGGTCACTCGGAAGGTTTAATCACTGCACTATCACTGATCAGCCTACCGTAAGTGGAAGTTTGGAAACATTCTTGAAAAATGACTGTCTAGCGTGCTCCAGGCACTTCTACACATCAAAAAAGACAGCTTGTCGAGCTAAGTCAAATAGTCCTTTAGATTCGAAATTCGTCCTTTCTGAAGCAAGATAAAGCGATGCGACCCGAATTTCGGCAAATTACGGCGGAGTGCGGTGATATTTGTCACATACGAGCGGTATTGTACGTATGCGACAGCTCCATCAGTTCCCTACAGATACGATATGCAGCACTTCCTCCTCGGATATTGGTCAGAAATGTGCGGAACCCTAATTGGCCAAAACCCTAAAGCCAACTGAATTGGCAGACCCTTTGTGCCTTTGATTGCAGGTGCAAACTTGCTTGTGTGTAGGTAGTTCCTCCCCCTCATTTTACCCCTTTCCCACTGTGTGCTGTGTCCTCGAGTCGTATGTTGTGAAATTGCAGTGAACAGCGAAGGTTTGCCCTCTTCCCAAGCCGTGAGGGATTTCGTCGCCTTCGGCATCCTTTTTTCTAAATGCCCAGCTAAGTGCAGACCAGGCTTTATCCATCTCTTACTGTAAGGTAATAAACGCTGGTTTAATGGAAGGCAACTTCACGCAAGATGGAAGGTTGATAATGGCCTGTTAAAGGCACCGTCCATACAGATACTCGGCTTCCATGTTTTGATCTTCCGGGCTTTCTCATGTCCCCAATTCCGAGTATAAAATCGAGAATGCGCGAAAACAAGGCAATCGCCGTTCAGACCCGCAGGTGATCTCCGAAACGCTGTTTAGATGGGCGCGCACGGGTGGGCGGGCATTACTGGAGGGGGGGGGGGGGCGGTGCTGAGTTGGGGTCTCCATGCTCTTTGCTATCCCGAAGCCTCGCTTGAAACGACATTTTGCGTCGCAACTTAGGCATTGGCTTGATAGGTGGTCATACTATCGTAAGCTGCCAAGGTCAGGACACCTAACTTAGGGTGGACGGTGCCTTTACTTTCCTTGCTCCTTCATCACCGTCTTGCAGTTCTGGAATCTTCCCATACACTCTGAGTTGGATTCTCCTCTTACGAGGAAACGATCCCAACTTAAGGTGGCGAATTAAAACGAACCGCATATCATTATATGCATCTTGGTGAGCTGATTTCAAATCTACCTTCCTTATCTGCGATGCCTTTATCTGGATAAAGTTATGAAAGGTTAAAGATGTGGAGTCATTGGGTTTTTAATCTTATATATAAAGCTGAATGTCTGTTTGTCTGTCTGTATGTATGTATATGTCTGTCTGTACGTATGTTCCGAATAGAAAATTCCATTTCTGAACCGATCGGGACCAAACTTGGCACACAAACACTTCGGGCCCCGGCGGGTGTCAT